AACTCTTTTGAAGGACCTGGAGGCGAAGTTATACTTCTTTTTAAGTGTGCTGGTGTTTACATCCCGAGTCGCCGAAGCCGCAGCCCAGGCTTGATAACACTCCTGCTTACTGCGTAATGCAGTCTTACAGGAGCGACCAAACCAAGGCTGAAATCTGCCTCCGATGGGTACCCAGATGATGGAATAAATAGTTCCATTCCCTATAGCACCACATGAGTGACAGAGTCAGCAACAGCGCTGGGATCATCCGGCGAGAAGCAAACCCGCCCCCATGGGTAGGATGTAAAGAAAGACCGCATTCCGTCCTAATCCGCCGACCTGTAATGCCAAACACGGTGGCAACCTGCAGAACGCAACCGCGAGGGGAGCGTAAGTGGCACCACACTCCGGATCAGACAATGGTCCGAAGAGCCCAGAGGGGCATCGACGGAAACCTGATATCCGTCCGGATGAGAGATCAGCAGAAGGTCCAACAGGGAAGGTGTATGATCCTCCACATCTGGAATCCGCGTAGGCGAAGTAACCAGTTGTGTCAGACCATATGCCAAAGCAAAGTCATAAACAGATCTCCCCGTATGATCGGTTAAACGTGAACCGAGCCATTCGGTGTGGTGGGCGTTAAAATCGCCAAGGATCACGATCTCTGCGGATGGGACCTTTTGTAGCAAAGATTCTATAGCCATTTGGACGTGGTCAATGAGTCGGTCTGTTTCGGTATTACCGCTATGGGACCTATAGAGGCACCCGTAGACGCGCGGATGGTCGTCGCTGTCTACGCGTAGCCAAAGGATGGACAGGTCCGAACCTTCAAGACTGCCGAGGCGTCGAGAACAGATGTTCTCTCTGACATACACGCAAACTCCAGCCCGAGGCACAAAGGAGTGCTCCAATTTGTACCCCGGGTAGGAGAGATACGAAATATCAGCCGGAGAGGAAAACTGCGTCTCGGTCAGAAAGAGCAAGGCCGGCTGGTCTTGTTGCTCAGTTTGCCCCGAGCAGTTATGTTTTTGAGCGGAATTTTGCCCCCCCCCCCCCCCCCAGAATACACGGGGCAGCTTGAGCACCCACGCTCAGGAGTGGAATGCATTGTCACCCTTGAGGACTAAAATGAAATGCTTCGTTTCCAGTAAAAGGGGTTTTCGATTCTCTACACTCACCATACGAAGCACAGCAGCATTAAGCTGGTCCCCAGTCAAGTCAACCCATTCGTGCTACAACTATACCAGTAATATAGCTGTAGCATGGCTCTATCACGTAAAAATTATAGAGATTATGTGATAAGCATTTTTAATTTGATCAAGAATAAGAATGTTTAGTTTGAGGAAATAAAAAAAGTGTTAGAATATAAATTTTATTGCAAGAAACATAAAAACAAGCCACAATCGGATAGCAATTTCAATACTTTGTAGGTTTATTCCCATTTCACTTCTCCATTACATAATTTAATTTAGTTTTCATTTTCATTAGGAGACTCGACTTGCGTAGTGAGTACTATGCTAAACGGGAATAAACAAATTGTATATTCATCATTTATATTGCATAATCTGTGGAAGATAGAAGTATTGTTCAGAATCTGCCATTGTTGCCAGCTTAAATAATACTTAATGCTTGAGGTACGTAAGTAGGTTTTTCAGCAGGCAGTAAAAGTAATTACTTCATTATAATAAAATTTTATAACTTAATCAAAGTTTGCATTAAATAGCATAATAACACAACTTAAATGTACTAAATGGTAATAAAACATTAAACATAATATATTAAAATATACCGTTAATTTACAATAGCGTACGGTACTTTAAGGTTAAGGTAGACTGAAAGGTAATTCAGGCAACTCTGTTCTGAAAACTACTTCTATCGTTCCTCTTAACAATAACATACATATTGTGCAAAAATATATTATTATATAATATTTGGTATAGTAATACTTCGTAAAATACAAAAATGTACACACACACACACACACACACAAATACATACACGCACACAAATTTGCAGTAAATCAGTAACATAAAACAAAAGTACAATATGAAGACATGCATCTATAATTTGTTTTTATATAATATTACTTTTTGTGAAATAATGTATTGCAAAAACAGATATTATACCAAAATCTTTACTCTTTTTTTGTTATAGTTAAAACAAATTTTTATTACAAATTGTGAGAGAATAAAACTTTTTTAAATAAAATTAATTTTTTCTATGATTTATATCTTTCCTTTCTCCCCTTCTCCTACTATAGCAGAAAATACTATATTTAAAATTCCTTTTTAGCATTCCTTTTCAGCTCTCATTGTCATATTTGACCTAATCTGAGAGAACGTGCATTTCGTTTGGTGTGAATCGTACTTTAGTAACGTCGTATATTGTTTTTAAGGTCAAGTAAGGTCTCGCATTACTAAAAGATGAAATTTTAAGCAACTACTAAAAAAAACTATTATATTATAGTGTACCTTAAAGTATATGCTCACACCAGACGAGTACACCCGTAAGGTGTCTTATATAGCAATAGCAACAAGTTTTCACTCTCTAATGACCAAATACTCAAAGGAAACTCAATTTTAAGATGCCGTTAAGTCTTATGGTGTCGCAGTCACTTTGACTTAAAGTGAAAGAGACAGCACGAGACTTAGCGGCGTCTTAAAATTCAGTAGCGTTTGAGTTAGCATTTGCGCATTAGCATTTTAAATATGATAGTGGTTTACGATAAAAAATGCAAATAAATAATTAGTAAAGCAGTCTTTTTTATATATTATACTATTACTTAGGCAGAACACCAGCGTAAAAACCATTATTTTCTAAATATAGTAAAAATATTGCTCCGTATTATTAAGTTACATTTGTTCTATTACTTTTCGCAACAAAGTTCCTTATCGTACGGTATGAATAAAGCAGATGGGGGCTAGGCGAGAAAGTGTAAGATTTTTCCGTAACGACCCCTTTTCTATAATGCGAACTCCATGTCATCTCCCTCGCGCTTTTTCTTATCTTGCCGCGAAAGAAATATTATTTTAAATGACGCTTCATCTTAGTAGACGCTGGTAATTTATTTATTTGTATTTTTTAATCAATAATATAATATGTTTATCAATAATAATATACTACGAAAGGAACTTTGTTCCAACCGAGTGTTCCACGACACTCACGCATGTTTTTTATTTTAATTTTAAAATAGTTCTAAAAACAATTTTATAAATATACAAGGCGTCATCAGGTTCCTTACAGTAAAGCGTGTATAACACCAATGAAATAAATCCAATAGATTATAACAATGGAAATTTTTTTTGTTTTAATAACTTTTACACATGATGTAGATAACTTTGAAGTTGGTAAAAATTACTTATGGATTTATTTAAATAAACTTTAATATTATGGATTTGCGCAAAGTAACACCTGATTCTATTATGTAGATAACTTTTCATCAGAAGGCGAATAATCTGCTACTACGAATTTAGAAACTTTTTTTTTTTAAATTAAGGGTGCTAAATGATCACCAAGTCCATCTCATGGTAAGTGGATACTGTGGCTCATAGACATCTACATCTATCCTCGATTAAGAATTAAAATACAGATGCGTTGTCACCCCTGAGAATTAAGATGAAATGCCTTGATTGGTATCTACACTCGCCATAAGAAACACAGCAGCATTAAGCTGCTATTTTACGCTGGTATTCTGTGAGAACGTGGTCCTTCCCCGGTGGAACCGAACTATTTTTACACACTAACACAATAATATAGCTGCAACGTGTCTCTACCACGTGTAAAGCCGCCCTAAAATTAAGTACCTACAATTTACATTATACATGGTGTTGAACTTTGTTTAAAGTCATATTTCCTTTATATTTACTTTTTTATTTAAAAATAAATAATTAACTATTTTAAAATACTTAATTGAACTAGTAATGATCTAGTTTTTATTTATTATGAAAAGCCACGACTTCCTATATAATGGTGTAGTTTCCATTAAATATAATTTCGATCTTGAAAAAATACCACGATGAAAATAAGCAATTAATATATTATATATATGGTGACAATCGCTGGCAATATCGAGTTTTAAAAGATAACTTAATGCTAAAACATAATTTAAATAAAAAAAACAATTTAAAATAAATTATAAATTAACGAAAACAATGGTAATATAATACCTCTGGAAAATATTCTTTGTTCTTGTTGATATATATTAAGAGCCTCGTACTGGCAAAAGGAAGTGTTGTCAACTCCCCACTTTATGGAGCGACGACTTGATGAAACAAGTAGGTAGTTAGTTGATGGATGCAGGTGGCTCAGTACTCTGTGGCAATGTATGCCTATGTTCAACAGTAGACTTGTGATGGACTGTAGTGATGATGGTGATGATGATAATGATGATGATGAAAAAGGACTTGTTTACAAGAGTCAGTATTCATTCTAGAAAGAGACTAGGTACATATCTTTCATTAGCTTTGTCTTCCCCGCGCTTCTTCAATTATATTTACTATGAAGCGTAATACGAAAAGCACAATTCATTTTTGAATAAATTTCTTACATCGATTAAACACTTAAACATTTTGTTTTCTTTTATAGCAGAAGTTTAGTGCAGTAGAGAAAAAGGAATGTATATTTTTACTAAACCATTAATGTTGATCAAAATTGAACTCTGTGCGCTCAACATAGATCTGAAAATGCAATGATACACATAATTTATCAACGTAAAAATAATATTCACAGCATATGTTTTGTAACCGTCAAGTAACAACTATTTAACAAAAAAATAATAATAGCCGCCATTTTTAATTGCTATGTCATTTTTTATTTGTATGTCGGACTAGAAAATTTAATATTGACGAACTAAATAAATAAAAATTTATTACATTACATAGTAGACAAATAAATAGAGTAGGTGTAAATTATTGCACAAAATTATAATGGAATACGATTGCAAGGTATACAACTTCCTTTTTGATCGGAACAAAGCACAAACCTCTCAACTGTTCTTCTTTTCTCTTCTTTTGCAGTGATCTTTAATCAACCTCCTTTATACTTCGTTTTTCAACACGTTTCTGTTCGTCAACCTGTAAGAGATATTACATTATGAGCCTTATACTGCCTTTTGATAGCCACGTTGATCTATTGATCGTAAGTGACACTGCGAGGTCCCGGTTTCGAATCCTGAGTCAGTATGAAATCAGTTATTGATAATAGTAGCCCGGAGTTAGGAATTTGACGGTGTTTTATCCCCTGGAGGATATTTCACAAGAAGGCAAACATTTCAAAAGAGTTAAAAAAAAACAAACGTTAGAAGAAATATTTACGTGTAATAAAGGTAAATATAGAAAAAAGAAAGAAAAGGCCTACGTCGGGCTCGCCCAAAAGTGTGCTAGCGAGATACGGAGCTCGGAGAACTCCGCGCCAGTACAGTTTCTCCAGGGGTCGGTTCACGGACCAACCAGCGCAGCGGATCCCTAGCGACCTCCAGTACTGCACTTCACTCCTGCAACAAAAAATAACAGGAAATTAATGGTTTTGCCTTGTGGGGGCGGCGTAGGACTTGGACTAGGACACCACCACCATCTTACCGTGAGCCTGTCGTAACACGAAACTGTGGAAAATGCCAGAGAAATATACAAGACATTTATTATATGAACACTTCTTGAGTGTTAATACTATTATATCAAAATAAAATTACCAGTACTGCCATCTATTGTGTATTTTATGAATAATCTATGGGAATGTATGAAGGTTATCTGTAATAAATGTCTTTTCACTCACTCTATTCGTGTCACAGAAATACGATGTCTCATTTTATTTAGTATCGTTGTGATTTGAAACACGACGAAACGAAAAAACGACACTAAAAAGAGATAAACATATATATCTATAGGATTTAGCCTGCGAGATAATGAGATAGAATACAGTACCTATACAGTGTTCCCTCATTATGTCAGTCTCGTCTTCGCGCGTTGCTTTAAAAATGGTTAATATAATTTTAAATGGTTAAAATTACAGTAAAAATATAACAAAATTTATTCATATCATGTCCAATCCATTCATAGCAATACACGATTTCATAACTTACCGATTTATATCAAATTAGTCGTGTTTAGGCCATCCAGTGTCTATTTTACGTACCGCCTTGAGAGTCAATAAATTTTCGTTCGATAAAATGACTTTACCTATAGAATGAATAGATGGCGCTATTACAAAGCATAAAATTGCAATTTTCTAAGGTTTTACTTCTACCGCGCGTGAACTGCACACATGTTTTTTTAACCTTTCCTTTACCGCGCCTGCTATAACAAAAAACGGCTTTGTACCGGGGGCTCCTGACGACATCTCGGCGCGCGGCACTTGTTTCAACATTTATGTTATTCACGACTGTTCATTTATGTTATAAGAGGTTTGAATTACAGTTTTTTAAAGCTGATAAGATTGTCGATAAGTAGAAACAATAACAATAACATTTGGATGTTTATTTAGTTTTGTACAGCTCTTTGTTTCTAAGGGATCTTGAAAAAGTGTATTTACTGAAAATATATTTTGTTTTATGAATGAAAAAGCGTAAGTTTTTATTTTATTTTTATGTCCTCATAATCTGTATAACATGCTCTTCAGAAATTATGCATGCAATCATTAAAATAATTCTACTTTTCATTCACAAACATTTGCTAAATATTCGACAATAGACAGTTTGCCCGCCCTTTGTTACCTCATTTTCAAAACCTTTTTGTGAAAATACTATAGCGTCTTCCTTAATTTTTCTTATAAAATCATATAGATTTAAAATTATGGAATAATACGTCTTTATGAATATATATACATGCAATAAACTATCTCTAAAAAGGCTAAATATTTCAGAAGGTAGATCTTATTTGAAATTTTGAATAGTTTCTAATTAAAAATATGCTGTCTTTATATATTTGTTAAGAGGAAAATAGTATTGCGGTATAGCTGCATTAATTCATGCCCGCGGTACTCAACGGTCACTTAATAGATGCATGAATTCATGCCCGCGGTACTGGAGGGGTTAAAGAACACTTACGGGCTTACTATATCCTTGTGCAACAGCACAGCGCTAGCGGCACACCAGCGAGCGCTCCAACGCCACAGAAGCGAATGAACCAAGTCCGCGATACGAAGCAACGCTTGAACGGGCAGGTTGTCACCGAATCTGCACACAAGTGAACATTGTTTCACAATAAGTAATAATAAATCCATATATTAATACGTGACGAGAAAACTTTGTACCCTTTTTTTATAGAATAAGGGTGACAAACGAGCACACAGCCCACCTGATATTAAGTGGATGCTGTGGCCTATAGACACCACCCACATCTATCCTCAATTAAGAGTCAAAATGTAGATGCGTTGTTACCCGTGAGGACTGTGATAGAAAGCCTCATTTCCACTAAAAAGATCTCCGGTTCTCTACACTCACCATACGAAGCACAGCAGCATTAAGCTGGTCCCCAGTCAAGCCAACCCATTCGTGCTACAACTATACCAGTAATATAGCTGCAGCATGGCTCTACCATACCATTTTAGTTCTCCATTACATAATTTAATTTAGTTCTCTACACTCACAATACGAAACACAGTAGCATTAAGCTGCTATTTTACGCTGGCATTCTGTAAGAGCGTGGTCCATCCCTGGTCGAGTGAAAATAATGATTGAAAAGTGTGATTTGCAAAGATGATGTCGTAATCAGGATCAAGAAAGGAATGGTTCGTTGGTTAGGTCATGTAGAAAGAATGAACGGGGAAAGAGTGACAAGCCAAATTTATGTTGCAGAAGTGAATGACAGAGTCGGGAAGTGACGCCGAGACGACAGTATATCGACCAAATTTTAGATATATTGAAGATGGGCCAGATTAACACTAACCTTAACCGACGGGCATGTATGCGTAGGTATATGGATGTAGGAGTATGAAAGAGGCGGGAAGGGTGCGTCAGGATCGCGCCAAGTGGTAGTCCGTAGTTTCTGCACACCCTCTGTGTGACTTAGATTGTTTATTTTATTATATGTTACCCCATATTGTCCCGTGAGAGTCGTAAGAGGCGACAGAGTTGGTGTATCGTATGGTGAGTGTAGAGAAACGGAGACCATTTTAACTGGAAACGAGGCATTCAATCTTAGTATTCAGAGGTGACAACGCATCTACATTTCCATTTTTAACCGAGGATAGATTTAGATGTCTATGGGCTGCAGCATCCAATTTACTCAGGAGGGTTAGACTGTGTGCTCGCTTGTCACCCTTATTCTATAAAAATATACCCACTCCCAACCAATACTAAACGACTGTTATTTATGAAATTCGAAGATAACTCAACGTCATTTCTCCGTTACCTGGGATTATTCGGTCCATTTTCCGCGTCGTAATCTTGAGCACTGAAGCAATATGGACGGTAACTGATAGCGCCTACGACTTGAGGATCCTTCTTTCTAATCTGGAGTACAATAATTCAATTTTCAAATAATTTTACCATTTCACTGTCCTGTGAGTATATGAACATTTCTTATTGTTTAACTATTGAATGTCTTTTTCGCGGACAGCGAAAAACTACTAAAATTAGAAAAAAGTAAAATTATAGCTTATATCATACATCTCACAACTGGAACAAGGGCCTTCTCTCACTTACGAGAGGGTTTTAGTGTAGTTAAAGGAAATGTCCCGCTGCCCCCAATGCGTGTTGGCGAACTTTGCATGTCTTCGAAATATTTTTCTTACGTGGTAGAGTCATGCTGCATCTATATTACTGATATAGTTGTAGCACGAATGGGTCGGCCCGACCGGGGAAGGATCACGCTCTCACAGAATACCAGCGTAAAATAGCTGCTTGACACTGCTGTGTTTCGTATGGAGAGTGTAGAGAACCGGAGACCCTTTTTACTGGAAAAGAGGCATTCCATCTTAGCCCTCACGAGTGACGACGCATCTCCATTTTGATTCTTTACTGAGGATAAATGTATGGGCTATATATGGGCTACAGCAACCACTTACCATCAGGTGGACTGTGTGCTCGTTTGTCTCTCTATCCTATAAAAAAATTTTTTTTCCTCAAAATGTTTTTACCTTCACCGTCGAGCAAGTGGTAAATCAGCACTTGCAACTTCATTGGTGGTCGGCGGTGTTCGTATCCGGGTTGCTCGCGTACTATGAAATTTACGAGCGCTTTGCCCCTGAGTTACCAAACTATAGTAAAAAATTAACAAATCTTAACACAAAACGCTCACCTGATACAGTATGAAAGGATTGAAGCTTGTCACTACAGCATACCGGTATAGAGCCGGTTGCTTAGAGAAAGCCTTCAAAATTCCATTCACTACCTGCAAAATTTTATAATAAAATATAATAACCATTTTTGAAGTAATACTTCTTTTGTGACGTTTGGGAAAAATGATGAGTGATTATTTTACGATGCGCGCGCACACCGCCAACTAAAATCGACACCATGAAGTTGTGTGTTTCGTATGGTGAGTGTAGAGAACCAGAGACCCATTTTACTGGAAAAGAGGCATACCATCTTAGTCCTCACGGGTGACGATGCATCTGCCTTTTGATTCTTTATTGAGGATAGATGTAGATGTCTATGGGTCACAGCAACCACTTACCAATCAGGTGGACTGTGTGCTCGTTTGTCACCCTATCCTATAAAAAAAAGTGCAAGCGCTCATATTTGACGGCAAAAATAGGTAAGTTTTAAACATTAGGAAAATAAAGTGACAGTAGCCTAATAGTTATGTGAACCGCGAACTTTAATTTCGTGAATCCGCACAAGTTTACTCCTGAATATAGAGTTCAACATATATTACCACATAGCGAACTGTTCTGCCGTGGCAGAGCCATGCTGCAGCTGTATTATGGTGGTAGCACGGATGGGTCGCCTCGACCGGGGAAGGACCACGCTCTCAGAGAATACCAGCGTTAAACAACAGCTTAATGCCGCTGTTTCGTATGGTGGGTGTAGACCGGAGACCCCTTTTTACTGAAAATGAGGCAATCCATTTTCGTCCTCACGTATGACAACGCATCTGCATTTTTATTCGTAATCAAGGATAAATATAGATGTCTATGATGGGCCACAGTATCCACTTACCATCAGGTGGACTGTGTGATCGTTTGACACCCTTATTCTATAAAAAAAGAGAACCTTTCTTCCCTATCAGTTGTTTGTTCTGCAAGATATGTATGTGACCAGCTCAATGTTAGAAATTCTGTTGTTATTCCCGTTACCGGTTTTACCATGCAGATAAGCTCTAAGCCCTATTCATAGCTGACTGAGTGATTTTAAGCATTTTCTTTCAGACTACAGTAAACACAACACAATCCATGTTTCAGCTCTGTAAGTCAATATTGTTTCATGTTCATACATTAAATTATCTTGAATATAGGCTTCAGACTAGACAATAGACAATGCATCTGCATTTTAATTCGTAATCAAGGATAGATGTAGATGTCTATGGGCCACAGCAATCACTTATCATCAGGTGTACCGTGTACTCGTTTGTCACCCTTATCCTATAAAAAAAGCTTTATAGAAATATGTTGTTTTTATAATATATAGATTGTTATAAGGAAAAAAACGATTTACCTGTTTGTCTTCGCCTTTAATGTCAATAATCATCCTTACATTATTAGCAAGCAAGTAATCTAGTGCATCGTCCAACAGGCACAGGTGAACCTCTTTAAACTGTTGCCTAGAAAATAATACAGGTTTAGATCTTAGATACGTAGAGACTTTATTTAATATTTTAATAACTTTAAATATAGTATAACACAGTATAACAATAAATGACTGTCTTATCTTATTTTACTTTGACCAGCATCCTGTGCAAAGCATAGGAGATGGGCGATAAAAAAGATAATAAAAACCCAAAATAATAAAAACTGTGGTTACCTAAACAAATACATGGCAAATATTCCCCTTATTAGGCAATCTAGTCGGGAGGCTTTGTTCAGATAGCCAGTAATAAATGATGAATGACTGAACTCTTAAGTATGTAAAGACAGAAGTCTTTACATCTCCACTGTTTGTGTCCTTTTTAACTCACTTGAAGGCCCATAGCAATGGTAGCTCAGAGTGATAATCACAATTATGAAGGTATCCTCTGGATTAGATTCCGCTGACGCAAATGAAATTGTTAATTGCAATTTTTTTTGGAAATACTGATTTACTAGATGCTCTGGGGTAAAGAAAAACAATGTAAGGAAACTTGTTTGTCTGAGAAACCACCATTATCATCCCGTGGGTGCAATCAGAGGCCACAGAGGTAAACTAAAACAAAAAATGCGCTGCAGCATTTTCTAAATAACATCAGAATAATTATAAAAAAACTGAGGTTGTCAACTCATGCCCCAAGGAGTGGCAACTTTTTCAAATATCCATCCTGCGAGGTAAACTATATAAGAAGCCTATGTTCAACAGTTGACTTTATATAAACTGTAATGCTCCCGTACTGTGAAATTTACAGTGAGCGTTTAGCCCCTGAGCTGCCGCGGCTCTTTTGCGAGCAACACGGGTTCGATCCCCACCACCAACAATGAAATTGTCAATTGCAATTTAAAGTGCTGATTTACCACATGCTCGGCGGTGAAGGAAAACATTGTAAGGAAGCCTGCATGTCTAAAAATATATTTCCAAGTTGTGAAGTTCGCCAACATGCATTGCGGCAGCATGGGAGACATTTTCTTGCCCTAAAACCCTCTCAGAAACAAGAGTAGGCCTGTGGCCAGCATGGGACATAAAGACATAAATAGCTTTTAACTGATCTAACTTTTTAAGCTGTAATGAATGAAATACAGACTTAACCTAGTGAGTGACTAGAATATAATGTGTTTAGGTATTACATCTATCAAATACACTATTTTTGGTACACACCTATTAGGATGTGTCGCCCCAATATCAATGTTTTTAATCTTTTCCCAATCCATGATGTGAACATCAGATATATCAGTGCCAGTAAGCCGCCCTAGGCCCTGATCATGCAATAAAACTAAGTGACCATCTCGTGACGATCTCACATCTAGTTCTACGAAATGACAGTCCCTCTCAACACACTAAAAAGAAAAAGAAAAACATCATAAAAATAAACTTTTTTTAGTTTTAAAGGATAAGGGTGACAAATGAGCATACATTCCACCATATAACACATCAGGCAATATGGCATTGAATTATCACAGAACAAACATAAAAATTATAACGTCAAATTAACAACCTATTTTTTTTTCTAAGGTAGAAAGCATACAACTATCAAGGGAAAACATTTTACACTTTAAATAAAAAATAGAAGCTACTTGTGTAGAAATTATTTTATTGTTGTTACTTATTTGAAGTTGCCTATAAGTTTTGATTAAAAAAATTAATAATTTCAACCTTTCCAGTAGACTAAGAAATATCACAAGCTTATGGTTACAACTAGAATATCATCTAAATAATATATGCATTAAAACTTCGTACTTTTTTTTTCCACCTATAAGAGTGGTATGCTTTCTCCTAATTAAAAAAAAATTATATGTACAATAAAAACACTCAAATTAAAAAACTTATTTTTTAACTGCATCATCATCATCATCATCATCACCTTTTTATTGAAGTCTGCTTATAAAATACACTGTTATTGCTGCCTATAATTTTTCTTAAGGGTCACAAGTATGGTCTCATCATTATGTTTACAAATCAGGCAATAAATATAATGTTAATATGGAGTAAGTTACAACTACAACACTAATATTTGTATTATACAATAAACATAGGTATATTTTTATAGAAAATGAAATTTATATAATCAGAAAGATCTCATGACTTTTGATAGATGCAGACATAACTATCTCATTCACACCAGACATATACCCAGAGCGTCAAAGGTGTGAGTTCTGGTATTGTAATCACCCATTCACCTGCTAAGTGTAGTAATTAAGGCGAATCTCTACCCTACAGCAGATCAGGCTCGTGTTCAGAATAGTAGTTTTATGGGCCGATAAAGAAAGAAGATCCCAAGTTTGTCGTAATCAATAAAATTAACAAATAAATAAAATGAAAACATTAAAAGTTTAAAAACAATACGTATCCTAATAATAACAATCAACTGTATACACATGTATATATAAATAACTTACGTATTTAAATGCTTGTATTGTGTTCTCGGGAGCATCTAAACCAGCTCCTCTATGAGCTATGCATTTAACAACTTTCTCAGGATGTAATTCGCTTTCCTTGCTCCAGGGGTCAGGGCCGAATATACTGACCACATTATTTGGGTCTGGTTTCTTTAACCTCGTAATATAATACGCCGCGACTCCCAATATACCAACATCGAGACCAAAAGGTAAAACTGAATGTAAGAAGGGAATAAACGTGTATAAAAAAGAAATAACATAATACGCACTGTGGTATATAAATTTAAAAGTCGTCATAAACATATTTTCGTTCGTTCGTTGTGATTTTTATATAAGTGTATGTTACGATTTTCGAAAATAAATAAATAAAAGTACGAGAAGGCGGGGCTTCATCTGACAGTGCTTCTGACAGCGTTCCAAATCACTGTATCCCGAATCGAACTTCCGAATTGTACCTACTCTGTCTTCTAATTTATGATATTTTAGAGACGATAATAATAACAACTGAAGAATCGGAGTATCAAGTTATAATGCATGTAAAATAAATAAAACAACAAGGTGTGAAAATAAGTTTTTAGAACTTACTTTTAACAAACATACTGAATGTTTTTCTGCATAAAAGCAACTAACTCAGGGGATATACTCAGAGGATCCACACTCCACAGATCACAGAGTCACAGATTCACAGACTGTGAGCACAGACTACTAAGAGGATACTGCACTGCACATACTACTGTACTGAGATGACTGCAAGCAACAAACTACGTTAGGTAGGTACGTACTAGCAGTTTAGAGAGTTACTAGTCGTAGACTATATAGGTACTGGTTTTACCTTATCGCCTCTATTTACAATACTTGTCTAGGTGCCAATGTAACCGATTCGTTTTGAATACTAATTTTGCGCAGCGGCGCAGCAAATTAGAGTATACATAATAGCTTGTTTATGTATGTAAGTATACTTTAGACGTAGCAAGTTGTGCCGGGGGGCTAGTAATAATAATAAAAAATACAGTACAAGTAGGTACAACATTTTGTCGTGAATGCGTATTTAAATTTGCTTCCATAGTGGGCGGCAATTCAGAAAACTGATGATAACGAAATCGGGGGATAGAGTCTGGTGTTGTAGCTACATATCTATCATCTACAGCCAACATTTAATTACACCACTCGTTAGTTAAAGGTTCAAAGAATTCGTTTCGATGAGTGAGTATTGTGAGGCATCGCGCATCGGGGAGGGAAGCGCCGACAATTTGAGATCGTTTCGTTACGTACACATATTCACGTAAAATATACGGCTGTATCCCTCTACACACCACATGCACATCCTAATTTTTTTTAAATATTCAAATACTATAGAAGACTTTTGAAGAAAGATGTCCGAGTTCGTGTCAAGAAATTGCGCAAGGTTTCGGTTTCAGCGTCTCTAGCAATTATTATTATATGTCACAAATGCCTATGTATTGTTCCTTAAAACAATATTTTGTTACATTAATAGCACCATATTATAGTTTTTGGTAAGCGACGATACTGTGGCTCATAGGACATCTACATCTATCCTTAGTTACTAAACAAAATGCAGATGCGTTGAGCCTTGAGGACCAAGATGAATTGCCTCATTTCTAGTAAAAAGGATCTGCGATTCTGTACACTCACCATACGAAACAAAGCAGCATTACGCTGGTATCTGTGGGAGCGTGGTCCTACCCGGTTGAGCAGACCCATTCGCGTTACAACCATAACATTAACATAGCTGCAGCATATGTCTCTATCGCGCATTTTAAACAAATTAATGGTTCTTATATTTAATAAGCTCATTAGGTGCTTAAAATATGTTCAATGTCGACCTTTGAGTTTATACTTATCCAAGTTTTTAAGTACGTAATACGTATTAGGTAATAGTTTATCTAGTACTTCGTGTGATCATGTTTTAAATGTATTAGTTTTCATTTTCTTTTCAATACAATTTAGGAAATAAATAAATAGTTTGTTTTTATTATAAAAATGTAATACATACAATTTACATTTTCATTGTACTGAAAATAAAAAATATAATAGATACTTCTAAAGGAATGCAAATAATAAAAAAAACTTTAATTACATACACATTTTATTTTGTAACATATATTACATACACACTTATTTAATACACAATAAGTGTAAGCGATTAAATCCTAATTTTATTTTATACTATCAAAATATCACTATAATAAATTAACAGAATTCGGAATTGAATTTAGTGTGGTAGTTGTGTCTTTGGGTGGACATCATCATTCATCACATAAGACTTGCAAACAGGATATACTACCAAAATAGTATTTAACGAAGGGAACTATTCACACTCACTCTTAGTTTTACTGAGGGCCTTTTGCAATAAAAGTATTTAGATCAAAATTAAATTATAAACATTAGAGAATAGATTATTAGTTAAAATAAAAAAAAAACGTGATAAACAACGAAAATTTTGACCTAAAACAAAGATAAGATTTCAATAAAAACAATGGTTACTGCTTTTAATGTCTTTGACTAATTAGCTAGGATTCGGAAGGACAACGTATTTATTTACTAAAGCAAAATTTAAATCACCAATCTTCTTTATGTTTATATTTTTAACTTCCCATTTGTTAGTTGTTGCAATGGGTCAGTTTTGAGGTCCACAGCGTACACTTTTTAAAAGGATATTTGTGTAAGTGAAGTGTATACGTTAGTAAACTGTTTTCGTCATACATATCTCTACAAGAAATGATGTCAACTCCAAAACAATTTTATTCGACGCGTAATTGTATGATAATTGATTAAGATAATATAAGAAGGCATTCGTTGCTTCGGCGTATTAACTGCAAATCCTATCTCATAACATTATGTTAAAAGACGTTTACAAGCTCACGATGAAAAAAATATACCATATATTTAGACCTTGTAAGATTTTACCACGACATTGGTTTCATTTTAAATCCAAAAAAATAATTAAAAATTAAAAGTTTTGTAAGACTATTAAGATTAACTCAAAAACTATTGGTCAGACCTTGATCAATCATTTATATAGGACCACATGGGAAGTACCAGCTTTCAAATAAAAAAAGAATTATCGAAATCGGTCACCCAGTAAGAAGTTATGAGGTAACACATTAAAAAAAAAGATACAGCCGAATATCGTTTGCGAAAAAGCAACTAAAACTACTGAACATGTTCATAATATATAATTATAAATATTAAGATCGTTTGAAATCTAAATTTTTAATTATTTTCAACTGAGATATTTTGTCAACCACAACTTGAATAATAAAAAGTGCGGTCTCCACAACAGTCAGCACGCTAGCTCCAACGAATAACGCCGTAGTCCCACCAAGTGAAGCTAATAAAACAACCAATATATTTTAAATAGAGTCTCACATTCACAAATAACATTCATATTTGATTTAAAATTCAAACATGTAAATTTACTAATAGAAGATTATAATAAATAAAAATTAAAAATTTTGTACAACCGACTTCAATATAAATTATTAAGAATAACTCAAAAAATATTAGTCAAATTTATATGGGACTACATGTGAAGCACCAGCTTTCAATAGTGTTAATAAGTGCTCATTTACCACGTGCTCGGCGGTGAAGAAAAACATTGTGAGGAAACCTGCACGTCTGAGAAATAAGAAAAAAAAATTCGAAGTCATGTAAAGTTCGCTAACACTCTGAGACGGTTTTAGGGCGGCGGAGATTTCCTTGCTCTAAAACCCTCTCAGAAATGAGAGGAGGCCTGTGCCCAGCCGTGGGACGTATATAGGTTGCAACTTTAACTACAGTGCAATCTATTGCACACTGTAAATATTACCAACGGAGAAAATATTATTTCAAACAAAAAAATTTAAGTGATATAAAAAAAACAAGCGTGGGTGTCGTGAAACAATCGGTTGGAACGAAGTTCCTTTCGTAGTATTTTTTTTAAATACTAGTAATGCCATTAAACATTACTAATATTCCCTTAAACCACTTCTGGTAAGCTTAAAAATACTTGTGTTAGAAGTAGTCGAATGGCGGATTCGAACCCATGACCTTTCGAGTTCGCTGTCCGCGCCCTGCCGTTAGGCTACTGACGCTTCTAATATATTATTATTGGTAAACATGTTATATTATTGATTAACAAATACAAATAAATGCATTAAGTACTTATTAGCGTCTATTAAAATGAAGCATCATTTAAAATAAAATAATATTTCTTTCATGGCAAGATAAGAAAAAGAAAGAGTTGGATATCATTCCATCTCGCTTCATTATAGTCGCTAAGGCCGTCTACACTACTACGTCAGAAGGGGTCGTGTCGGAAAAATCTTACACTTTTACTCGCTTAGCCCCCATCCGGCAAATTCGTACCGTCCGATAATGAACTTCGTTCCAATAGAACATAATATATTATTCATAAAATTGATGTATTTAGTATATACGTATGTAAATAATTAATAGGATAATTATTTGTAGTGCGGGATGACCATTGGGCAAAGTGGCGGGCAAACTTACAGTGAAGTAACTAATTTATAAAAATGTAATGAAGAGACTTCGCTGTACAGCCTTTATATTTTCCATTTAAGATAAAAATAACCGACCAAGTGCGAGTCGGACTCGTGCATGAAGGGTTCCGTACGATCGTAATACACATTTCTAGTAGGGGAGCCCCTTTTAATAATTTTTAATATATTTAAATTTTTCTTATTTTTTGTTATAGTGGAAACAGAAATACACATTTTGTGTAAAACTGTCTACTTATCACAGATCATGAGATGCAGCCCGCTGACGGACGGACGGTCGGACGGACGGACAGCGGAGTCTTAGTAATAGGGTCCCGTTGGTTACCCTATGGGTACGGAACCCTAAAAACAAGCATAGGGCTAGGGCATACGTATTCAACATCCTGGATCTTGGTCTTGGGCGAATTATCACCTACGCCAGATGTAATAGTGTTCTGTGGTTATCAAACATGTGATTGTTCAATACGTGCTTATCACACGTATGGTAATTCGACCAAGATCAACATCAATACATTATTAGAAAACACAAAAGCCTTAACACAGAAATAAAAAATCAAACCGTATAAATCTTCAAGACTAAAGATCACGTCTCTATGTAGCCTGAACTTGGGCGGCATCAAAGTATATTTAGCTATTGCCAATGATTCTTCGTCCTCACTTTCGTTGCTGATGGCGTGACACGAGACAAAAATAAATTATTATTTCTTCGTAATAATCAGCTAGTAGGCAGTCTACTGTTTTTTAACCATCAATTAAGCGTACTGACTTAGCTTCATAAAAGCCTGTTCACCTTTACCTTGAAGGCATCCATATAAAGGGAGGAAAATACGGACGCTAGTAAATTATTCCACTCCTTTGCCATACGCATGAGAATGATGAAGCAAACCCTTTAATTTGTTTGCACATGTGCACCTTCCAACTTACAAGACCGTTTTGTCAACTTGGTTTAGAAAAACAGCACAACATTTGGTGTATTGCCAATCACAGTACGAATAGATAGCTGCACATATATCTCTGCTACTGCTTGTTGTTACTGGCCGGGTCACTTTAATTTGGCGTGTCAGAAATTGATTCCATATTTCTCGGTGGCGATGACATCCTTTTGAAGTTTCCTTCAGTCAATTTTTGTAACACTACCGGTATTAAATATATGCAGCTATATCATGATTATAGCACGAATGGGTCGGCGCAACAGGGCAATGAACACTCTCTCACAGAATACCAGGGTAAAATAGTAGCATAATGCTGTTGTGTTTCGAATGGTGAGTATAAAGAACTGAAGACCCTTATTACTGGAAATGAGGCAATTCACTGTAGTCGTCAGGGCTAATAAAGAATCTGAATTTTGATTCTTAATCGAGGTTAAATGTAGATGTCTATGGGCCACAGCACCCACTTACTATCAGGTGGATTTTGTGCTCATTTGACGCCCATATTATATTAAAATAAAAAATAAATACTTTTAAGTTTCGACATTCACGGGCTGTTATAGCATGAAAAAAATTATGTGTACGTGAGTACATGTCTGCACTTGAAATGTAGGTACGCGATATTCTGTTCTAACTATAGGTACACTAAACTTTTGGTAGTTTTCTTTTCTAAACCATAAGTACAATTAACTTAAAAAATCTTACCGAAGAGTGACCTTCTTTGTGTGAGAGTAATAATTGAGTTCAGCGCATTGGGGTAAGCAGGAACATTTGGCCAAGTTTTTAGGTAAATTGATGAGAATCTCAACGTTCCGCCCGATGCACGCCATCCCGTGCGCATCACACACGTCGCCATCTTGTTGAAATCAAAACAAAATGGTCGTTGATCGGACTAAACGTTTTGTTTGTAGGTTTTTTAGTATCAAAATACTTTTGTGATACTTTAAATTAGCACGAATAAAATTTCCCTGGCAGATGTTTGTAATAAAACCATTTGACCGTCAAAATATATGTCATTTGTCAACTTTATTTTTAAAATCAATTAATGCTGTTCAAAAAGGTATGTTGATAATAAAAGTTACACCGTAGTAAACAAAATTAACAAAACCAGTTTTTTAAATTAATATATCTCCTGTAGTCCTCCTATAGTCACCTGATGGTAAATGGATGCTGTGGTCTATAGATACTATATAGGTAGTTTTGTCACCTTTGAGGGCTACGATAGAACGTCTCGTTATACCAGTAAAATGAATGTCCGGTTCTCTACATTCACCACATGAAACACAGCAGCGTTTAGCTGCTATTTTAAGCTGGTATTCTGTGAGAGCGTTGTCCTTCCCCGGTCGAGCCGACTCATTCGAGCTGCAACCATTATAGCTGCAGAGAAGCTGTAGCACGTATTCTGGTATTGAGATCCTCAATCCGCCTGCCGTTCATTCTGTAGCCTTAGAATTTTCACGTGCATAAAATTTTCGATACATTTTTTGCAAAAGAGAAGATATATTATAGCTAAATTTCACAGAATCTAAATTACCCGATTTCAATTCCTTCCAGCACCAATGAAATTTTTAATTTGCCATTCTTAAAGCAGGTCAACAGACAATATTCATCAAGCTCACTGTAAATAAACTATAATATCAAACTAATATAAAAATATAATTGAATAGAACGGTACGGGGACAAACGAACACACAGTCCAGCTGACGGTAGGTAAATAGATTGAGTGCTGTGGCCAATAGACATCTTTATTTATCCTCAATTAAGATTCAAAATGCAGATGCGTTGTTACTCCTGAGGACTAAGTGCTTCGTTACCAGTTATAAGGGTTCACTACACTCACTATACGAAACACAGCAGCATTAAGCAGGTATTTATTTACCAACGTAAATTGCAGTTTAATGTTTGTATGGTACGTCACGTGGCCAGCTCGTATAGGTAAGCGACGTGTACAGTGGCTTCTCACTAGATGCGAGTGATGACACGGTAAATCATGCATGAAATCAATGAATGTAAGTGACTTAAGACCGTATTTTGTGTGGCATTCGTCGAGGAAGGTCTAATATGGTCAGCAGTGGATTTGTGAAGTGCAAAATATGATGATGATTACGACGATTAATCGATATCAAACCTCACCTCCTTTGATATGAAAGTAAGGTCGACATCCACAAAACATGAGCGCCATCCGATTGCGACAATGCATCTGACAAAGTCCAAAACTGTACGACTGCAAAAAAAAATGGTGCGTGTCAAACCCGACGCACGAATGGTGTTTTTTTTTAAAATATAAGGATAGGCAAACGTGCTTGCGGCTCATCTGGTGGCAAGTGACTATCGCCGCCCATTAACAAACTGCGACACAAGTATTGCAAGTGCGCCGGCCTTTTAAAAAAAGAGTAAGCTCTCTTGTCGAAGGACCCTAAGTCGTTTCGGTCAATAAATCGCTAGTTATAATTAAAAAAGCTGAAGGTACTCCGGGTTAACTCTGACATCGGGACGTCAATCACCAAAGTCCCCCGTGACCATGGGTGCTGGAAAGCATCCGAAACGTCGGGAATTAATAAAAATAAGAAAAATAAGTTAATTAAACGCGATAAAATCCGTAAGAATAGTTTTTATTCAATGTGTAGTTTTCGCGTAATTTATATAAGAAATCATTATATAAATATACTCATCATACAAACTGACGTTAGGACTAAAATAATGAACGCAATTAAAAAGTTGTAAGAATATCAATTCCTAGGTGTCGATAAGAGGCGACAGAGAAAAACTAAACCTGGATGGGCAGCGGCATCACATTGATAACAATTGAATTTAAAAAAAAAGAAACTACGGTTATCATTACAGCCTATAAAAAGTCCACTGCTGAAGAAATGCCTCCCATTAGGAATGCGAGTTCAGAAGACCAAAATATCTGGACAAAATTTTAAAATGTCGGGATTTTGGATTTGTAGTCTGTAGAAATAAATTTTAAAAAGTTAATTTTTTAAATTAACAGGCTACAAATAACTTAACATTGTCAAGTCGTAAATAATTTATTTACACTAAATTCTTAGGTTGCCACATGTACATATGTATTTGACATTGGAATTTACCGAGTCCATCAATATGGATCCTCGGAAAAGATTTAAAATTCAAACAATTTACTTCAAAGTTCAGTCTGATTACTAACTCAGCTTTTATTAAATCAAAGGCAGCTGTGATGTGAAGAGAAGCTGTTTGTCTGGGGATTTTAAGTTTTATCGGGAGTCTGGAGATTATTTAAAACTAGCTGTTGACTTCGCCCGCGTGTAATTTAGGGTTTTAATTATATTGCTCAGAACACAAATTCTTTTTCTCAAATATAAGTGCAAGCAAGATACCCGTCTCCTAGTTCAATTTTCCTTTGTCATTTGACATTCACGGGATGATATGGTTACGTGAATATTCTTTTATCGCCGATACACATTTTATATTATTCAACTAGCTGTTCCCCGCGACTTCGCCCGCGTGTTTTTTGGGGTTTTAATTTTTTTGCGCGGAACCCTAATTCTTTTCTAAAATAAAAGTAGCCTGAATTACTCCTTGTGACATCAGCTATATGCCAGTGAAAATCCCGTCAAAATCGGTCCAGCCGTTTCGGAGATTAGCCGGAACAAACACACAGACAGACAAAAAAAAATGTGTTTTTGTTATATGTACCGTATATACTTTCATATGCATTTAGTAAAAAGCTGTTATTTTGACATTTGACAAACGGACACTTTAATTTTATTTATTTGTATAGATTGCGTGTAAAAGTTATAACCAATTCAGCTAGTTACCTTGATAGAATTGCTTAGCCATTCGTCAGGATATCTGCAACGTCTTTGCTCTTGAGTTAAGGCCTTCACACGTGTTGCGGCTTGAATCTCCACGACCTAAAATATTGACTTAAGGATTGATCAGCCACTTTTATAGAACTCTTCTAATGGCAACGCAAACGAGCATGCGGTTTTAGGGCACTCTCCTTGTTGCCTCAGCCAGTATCGGAATCCTCGGCGTCGACATATCGAATGACGTACAGTTTCGTTGTCACTTGCAAGAATAGGCTAAATTGGTCTTGCGTAGACACTTTGGCGGCCTCTCATCTCAGGGGTACCTCGTTTAGAGCCGGGGCGGCATCAGAGGCAGATGAACTGAGTAAGTGGCGCAAATATGAGTCTCTGAGAGATGACAACATATTTGTGCCATTTGCTGTAGAGACTATCTTTCCGTGGGGTGAAACGTGCGGTCAAGTTCCTAAATGAACTCCATCCGCGGCTGGTCGTTGCTGCTGGTGATAAGAGGGCTGGTTCTTTTCTCGGTCAAAGGCTAAATATAGCCATTCAGTGGGGCAATGCAGCCAGCGTTCTTGGTACAATACCGCGGGGAGTAGGACTATATGATAATTAAGTTAGTTTACTAGTTTTAGTTATTTTTATTATAGTTTTTAATATTGAAACTTTGAAAATCATTGTCACTGGCTACTGATCAGAGTTTTATAAAGTAAAGTAATGTTACAGCCTAAATACGTCCCACTGCTGGGCACAGGCCTCCCCTCATTTCTGAGAGGGTTTTTTAAGGCAAGGGAGTGTCCGCCGAGCTGCCCCAATGCGAGTTGGCGAACTTCACATGTCTTCAAAATTTTTTTCTTATTCCTCTGACATGCAGCTTTCACGATGTTTTCCTTCACCGCCGAGCACATGGTAAATGAGCACTTAAAATTGCAATTAACAATTTCATTTGTGTCGGCGGGGATCGAAACTGGTTTGCTCGCGTAGTTACTGTGAAATTTACAGCGAGCGCTAACCATCTGAGCTACCACGGCTCTTAGAGGCTTATAGCTGAAAAATAAATTGATAAAATTGCAACAAACCTTAAAATCGATAACCAGCTCTTCACCTGGCATCACTTCACCTATTGGATTCGATATTGCTGTCGCTATGTCGTACGGTGAATGCACGAAATACTGAACACAGATAAAAAATTATTTTTCTATCATACACAATTTGTTCTGACAGATTTTGACCGCGGCTAAATCTTACTTTTTTACTGTTCTAAGCCAGCACTTAACTACAATCCAGGATGGAAAGTGGTGTTGTAGTCAAAGATGGTGAAGCGCACTGACTTAACAAAAGCCTATGCACTCTTACCTTAACGACACCCACATTGTAATCGGATGGAAAAACAGGTGCTGGTAACTTATTCCACTACTTTGCAGTACGCTCGGCGAACGATGTAGTAAGCCGTGGTTAGTCAACAACGAAGATACAGCTATGAACATTTTTTTATTCATTACATTATATCAAAAATGCTCAGCTGAAAGCGGAACTCTGAGTCAAGCCTCCTACTTAGACGGGATATTTTGTCATAGTTGTCACGCTTGGTTGGTAGCAACCGCATTTTTTTATTATATTCAGTTGTTATGTCTGTCATTTACTGTTTTCATTTCTCTCTGTCGCCTTTTACAACACTCGCAGGATGATATGAGTTAGTGCAGAATCTGGTTATAATTTACACATTGAATTATTACGACATCGATATTTTATACTTGGTAGAGCCATGTTGTAGCTATATTAATAGTATAGTTGTAGCACGAATGGGTGGGCTCGACCGGGGATGACCACGCTCTCACCGAATACCAGCGTAAAATAGCAGCTTAATGCTGTTGTTTTGTGTTTCGTATGGTGAGTGTAGAGAAACCGAGACCCTTTTTACAGGAAAGGAGGCATTCTATCTTAGTCCTTACGGCTAACAACGCATATGCATTTTAATTCGCAAACGAGGATAGATGTAGATGTCTAACGGCCACAGCAACCACGTACCATCAGGTGGACTGTGTGCTCGTTTGTCACCCTTAGACTATAAAAAAATCAAAGTTTAAAGTGATCCAGGTAACATATTAAAGTGAGACAATAAAATAATTATCATCATCATTACTGTTCATTACATGGAACACAGTTTCGATAGCCAATTAGATAATCTTGAGTATATATGGTGACCATCTATACACGTATGAGGATTTCACTTTTTTCCCAATCAGTTCGATGGTTTTATCAGCTTATTGATGCCCTGGGCAACATGGAAAATGGTGAAGATATTATTGGATCGAAGTCCCTTATCGCACGGTACGAATTTCACGGATGGGGACTAGGCGAGAAAAAGTTTAAGATTTTTCCGTCACGACCCCCCTTCCATAGTGCGGGCGAGATGGAATAATATCCATCTCCCTCGCACTTTTTCTTATGTTGCCATAAAAGAAATATTATTTTAATTATTTTATACGCGGTAGAGCCATGCTGCAGCTATTACTGGTGTAGTTGTAGCACGAATTGGTCGGCTCGACCGGGGAAGGACCACGCTTTCACAGAATACTAGCGTAAAATAGCAGCTTAACGCTGCTGTGTTTCGTATGGTGAGTGTAGATAACCAGAGACCCTTTTAACTGGAAACGAGGCATTCCATTTTAGTCCTTACGGGTGACAACGCATCTGCATTTTGATTCGTAATCGAGGATAGATGTAGATGTCTATGGGCCACAGCAACTACACATATTATTTACCACCAAGTGGACTGTGTGCTCGTTTGTCACCCTTATCCTATAAATAAAATGACGCTTCATTTCAATAGACGCTAGCAATTCATTTATTTGTATTTGTTAATAAATAATATAATACGTTTATTAATAATAATATACTACGAAAGGAATTTCGTTCCAACCGAGTGTTCCGCCACGACACTCACGCCTGTTTTTTACTCTATTTCCAATACAAGCATACTCAGTAAGAATTCTATCAATCAAAGGAATTCCCGTAGCTGCAAAAGATATAAATACTGTGGTTGTAGATCTTATGTTTTTTTTTTAAATAAAAATGAAGTGTAAAATGAACGTAAAATCCACCTGATTGTATGTGGCTACTGCGATCCATGCATAAATTTGAGCAATTTAAACATCGATCACTAATAAATAACAAGATACACAATCAGTGACAAAAAATGTTTTTACGTGGCTCAATCGAGGTAGGACTACGCTCTCACAGAATAGCAGCGTAAAATAGCAGTCGACAACGTATTTGAATCGTTCTTTGCTTGAAGTTATTTGCGGGAGTCCATGAGCAGCAGAGATGTAAGGCCGTTTGTTATAATATGATCTTTTTAAAAAAGAGCAAAAAAAAATGTACGTATGTACACAGATACATTAACTCATCCTAGCCAACCCGTATAGAGTAGCATCTAACACTTTTAGTTGGATTTATATAGGTTTGGGAAAAAGAAAAGGTAAGGATAGTCAGAACAGTCCCAGCGTATCTTACCCTGACCACGTTACTCGAAGAGTCGATTCTCACGAAGCACTGGCCGCTGTGGTAGTGACACTTAAGCAACTCCTGTTGTTTCCATTTAATTTCTTGCTGTAGAAACTGGTACTCTGCATAAACTGAGTTCAAGGTCAGACAAATGCCTTCCTCAGTTATTACTGGTATCCACTGCACCTAGTTGGTGAGATTGTGGTTATTATAAATTTAGATATTATGATATTGTTTATAATTGTATGCCAAATATGAAACGGCTCCGTGGCGCAGTGGTTTAGCAATTTAGTTGCAGCGCTAAGGGCTGCGAGTTCGCATCCCGCACAGCACAAGTATTTGTATGTCCTACAAACCTTGTTCCGGGTCGGGATGTAGTCCTTGTGCAATTTATATTTGTAAACTGCCCCACGATACAGGAGAAAATCCTAGTGTGTAGTTACGTTTAAAAAAATTGTAGTTCTTATTTCACCGGCTGAATTACAACCTTTCAAAGTCTTTAATAACCAGCCGGCGGACTTTAAGCCCAGGTTATCCGCGTACTATTTTTTTTTTCTTTTTCTTTCGTTTATGTATTGATTGGTGTACAATAAAGAATTATCTATCTAAGTACTGTAGCCTCCATAAACATAATCAAAATAAAATAATGTTCGGAGTTTGATGTGATTGCCGTACGTAGCTATAAAAATGGATGTATAACCAACCTCCTTGTTAGTCTGGGATACGTTGACAAGTAATGTCATATTCGGATGCACGTTTCGCGCCAATTGCAGTAAATTTATATTTTTAACCGTATCGTCGTCCTGATACTTCCAGAAATTTTGCAAATTGGTTCTAAAGGAAACATCGGCGACTTCTTCTACAAAGCTATAGTAATACTGGAAGCGTTCCGTGTCCGAGTCCTCGGTTACGTTCCAAAGTCTGAAAATGATATGTTTGATTAACAGTGGCAGATAATTAATAAAATCAGGCGTTACTTTGCGGAAGTCCAATATATTAAATATATTAAAATCAATTAACTCAGCGCCGTGTGAAAATTAAAATGATGATGTGTCTAATCTAACATAAGAGCACGCTCTCGATACTTCTCATCACCACGCAAAAGGTCCACGGATTGCTCCTCCATGCGTGCAGTATGTACTGTTTTAAAAGCCTGTTTTAAAATTCAATAATAAAATCTATATATTTTTTTATAGGATAAGGGTGACAAACGAGCACACGGTTCACCTGATGATAAGTGGTTGCTGCGGCCCATAGACATCTACATCTATCCTCTATTAGAAATTAAAATGCAGACGCGTTACCACCCGCGAGGATTAAGATGGAATGCCTCATTTCCAGTAAAAAGGGTCTCCGGTTCTCTACACTCACCATACGAAACACAGCAGCGTTAAGCTGCTATTTTACGCTGGTATTCTGTGAGAGCGTGGTCCTTCCTCGGTCGAGTCGACACATTCGTGCTACTAAGTAATATAACTGCAGCATGGCTCTACTACGTGAAAAGTTAGACATGGTTAGATTTGCATTTTTAATCCGAGTATTAGGTAAATGGAAACTGTCGTGTTCTTAAGTAATTTAATTTTAACCTCTTGATTTCTCTTTTCGCGTACTCCGGTTGCACACGCTCGAGGAAACAAGCTGTGATGGCTGGGAAGGTGGTCCACCAGGCGCGGTAATCATGTTGCAAAGATACTACCACTGGTTCAGAGATGTACCGAGACAGTTGATTTAAAGCACAGAATACAGCGCCAGCGAATGCACTGAACGTTAGAACAAGCCAGAGGAGTCTGAAAGAAAGATAGTTTTTTTCTGTGACAAGGATAAAATAAGCATTAGCAGTTTAAAGTATTATTGACCGTACATATAGATAACTTCCGTGGTTCGGAAATGAAGGCTAATAATTTTCTCACAAGATGTCGCTAGTTGACACTGAGGTAAAGTATTTTTGTTACGCAATGTAATTTATTAAAAAAAGTTTATCAGCTTCTAGAGTATTATATTAATACACAAAACAATGCCCCAGTGCTTTACCTACTCTTTAATTATTTGCACATTTTTAACTTTTTTTTAATTTTTCTACATTTATGAATATCTGTGGTTTGGTTTATTTATTTTTATTCTTGTTAATATAAAATATAACTAATATGTAGTGCAGAAAGAAACATTAACCTTTACATTTTCCGAACATTCCCCGCTATGAAATCTGTCAAATATTATACCTCACTTTTAAGTGGCGCCGCCCTGGTGGCAGAAAAAGTCGTAGATGCCGTCAATCAATTACCGATACACTTCTAACAAGATTTTTCTTTTTAATTCAACGCTAGGCAGTTCATTAATCCAAGACCGAAACTAGGTGTACTTGCAAAGTAGGAATGGAATAATTTGTCTGCGTCTGTTTTTTCGTCCGATTACAATCTGGTAGTGGTTAAGAGCCGTGGTAGCTCAGGGGCTACGCACTCGCTGTAAATTTCACGGTTCCGATGTTCGATCCCCTCCAGCACCAATGAAATTGTTAATTGCAGTTTTAAGCTTTTAGTGCTGATTTACCACGTGCTCGGCGCTGAAGGAAAACATCTTGAGGAAACCCGCTTGTAAAAAATAAGAAAAACAAATATTTCAAAGACATGTGAAGTTCGCCAACACGCATTGGGGCAGCGCGGCATACATTTCCTCTCTTTTTCTTCTACTTTCCCTCTCAGAAATGAGAGGAGGCATATGTGCCTAGCACCGAGACATATATATGCTGTCACTTTAAGTTTTTTTTAACAATGTGGGTAGCACATATAAATATAAAAAACAAGGTAGCATAACGGAAAGAGTGAATAGACTTTTGTTACGCTAAGACAGTGTGATTTACTATCTAAGGCTTCACCGTTAATTTAATAAATAAAAAACACATTAACACGAACAGAGTTTTTGGCCTCTCATACAAATATCAACATCGTCAGAATTAAAAAGAAAATTGCCTATGCCCAACACACTGGGCAATTAGCCAAGTCCTTCCTTCAATAGGAGATAGGGATTCGTGTTCAGCAGTGGACTTATACTATAGAGCAGATGTATTCAAAAAGTTCTTAATATTAAATAATAATATAAACTGGCCAGACATACAATTTCATATTTCATTTCATAAAATAAAAGATAATAAACGTCAAAGATAAGTTATAAAATTATGAATGTAAAGTAGGCTGAATAATATAAAATTATAGTAAACCTTTCTAGAAAGTGAAAATTAGCTGTGACAGTATGCTTGAGGCCATGTAAAGTTGTTTCCTCACAGAATCTGGCGTAAACGGAATACACTGATGTAATGGAGAGTCTGATCGACTCCATCGTCGAGTTCATAAGGGTGCGCCAGCTCAATATTGCGGTATATGTGTTTTTGTTACTTTTCATTTCTATCACAAATTATATCGAAATGCTTAATTATTGATCTGAAAACCAAATTCAAGTAATACCATGTTAAAAATTTTGGGTCATTAGTTTGTAGCGTTGTTGCGATTGTTTTTGAATTGTGATGATGGCGTAAGATAATCCATCACTCTATTTCGAGGCATCAGAAAACCTCGAGACGGAACAGTAAACCACAGAGCCTCAGTAGCGGTGTAACCATCCAATAATAATCATGTCAAGAAACAAAAATAGATTAATACATGAATACTTACCATAGGCTTATCTACTGCTATTAAGTAGCTATCACCCAACTAATATGACTTTTTTATTATCTATCTTTATAACTAATATGATAACGATATGTAATCCTGTGTCTTGTTTTCTCTAATTGGTAATACCCACTTTGTAAGTACGATATAACAGATGACTTTATTTAACTATTAAATATTATTTTTAAAAACTTATTTATTTAATATAGATTTAAAAACATAATTTTAAAAAAAACTAAAACTAGTAACTTAATTATAATACACTCTTACTCCCCGCGGTATCGTGCCAAGAACGCTGGCTGCGTTTCCCCGCTGAATGGCTATACTTAGCCTTTGAGCTTTTTGTAAAGCAATAATATCATTAATCGGTACATCGTAGTGCAAATCCACCAGCCAAAAGTGATTGCCACTTGGCCTTCCTTCAATCCTAGCGAGAAGAAGATATTTAGGGTTATAACCAAGTACACAATCCACCTAAAGGTAAGTAAATACCGTCGTCCATATGCAACTACCTACATCTATCGTCTAATTAGAATCAAAATTAAGATGCGTTGTCACCTCTGACGAATAAGTTGGCCTCTTTAGTCGTTAGACACGCGTAATAAGTGTATCAAATTCCTATTATTCTGTGAGGGCGCAGGCTTCCTTCGATCGAACCGAACCATTTGTGCTCCAGACATAATATTGGTCATAAACATTAAGCGTCTCCCACACACAAGCGGCTTGCGGTGGCGGCTAACCGCGGGCCGCGGCTGCAGCCGCTGTAACAACAAACCACCGCGGCCCAAGTGGCGGCCTGAAGCGCCATTCGCTGAGGTGTCTGTATTACGATCGGACGTATGAACATGACAAACCGTGACGAAGTTTTTATTATATTCAGCAATATTATCATATATTTTGTTTTAATACTAATGCTTTTGTGATCACGATGCGAATTATCATAAAGTACTGGATAATTTTGCACTGTTTCTATTAAAATCTCTGAATTTAGCACCATTTTTCACGCGGTACACGCGGCCTGTTGTAAAAATTTACAACTGACCGCGTACTCGCTGACACACACGCATTGGCAAATGGGGCGGAGCATGCGGCCGCGGCCAGCCGCTCGCAGATCGCGACAAGGCCGCACGAGTGTGCAGACTCACTTACATTGCAAGCGAATACAACTGGCCGCCACCGCGGCCGCTACCGCAAGCCGCGTCTGTGTGGGATAGGCGTGTGTATCTCTTTATGGAAACGACTCACTGATACGAATCACTGAAGTGACACAAAAGATTGGTTCAGTAACAACGTTTCAAATGTATCATTTGTATCTGGAACAGTGAAACATTACTTTGCTCTTTGCTCATTTCGCGCGACGCGTCGCTTGCGAGGCGACTGAGCCACGAGCGAGAGAGAGAGACTGAGACAATGATTAACTTAACTATTGACTCATGAGTGGCGAGTAAGCGGGCGAAATAATTATAATTCACACAAGTCAGATAGAGATAACAAATAAGAAGTGTATCACTCAACTCGTACGGATTTTCGCTGACGTTATTCATGCACGTAAAATTAGCACTAAGGCGCTTATGTGTCAAATACTATACGGTCGTTTTTTGTATGTAACGTTTGCATTAACAAGTTGTCATTTTACGTTGATGCGGCACTTGTCAAATTGTTTATACTCATTAGCGCCTGTTTACGAAAACATACTGAGTTATGTTTAGGATTTCTTTGCGTAGTTATTATTGTGACTTTACTTTCTTCCTTTTCATCATAAAGTTTAGAGTTATAATAATTTACGAGTAAATTCTGTGTACATAGACATTGCTGTTTTGTGTAAATGGACATTTTTGTAAATAATGAATTGACATAGTGATATTTTTGTTAAAATATGAAGGAGAATCGATTTTATATACAATCTTATTACGGTACACAATAAATAATCTAAGCACTTATATTATTCAGCATTGTTGCCACATAACATTTCACGGATCAGTCAGTAATAAACGCCCGCGACGCAACTTAATGTATTCGGAACATTCTTTCTTTTATATCTTTTGAGTCGATGATACAAATGAGCCAAATGAAACATATCAGTGTTTCGGAACATTTCAGTGATCAAGATGCAAATGTTCCAATCCCAAAAATGATACACTTTGCCCACCTCCAGTGTGGGAGACGCTTTACAATGTCCTCCGCGCGACCCCAATGCGTATTGGCAGACTTCACACATTTTCGATATTTCTGAGACATGCAAGTTTCCTCACGATATTTTCCATCGCTAGAACCGCCGCTTAAGCACGTGGAGAATGAGCACTTGAAACTTAATTGAAATGAACAATTTTATTGCTGCCGGTGGTGATCGAACCTCTATCGAAAGAAACAAGTAAAATTTACGGTGAGCGCTTAAGTACTAAGATACCACGTCTTATCAGTCTAGAATAGCTTACGAGAGCCATCCTTCTATAGTTCGCTTGCGTGCCAACTTCTGTAAATATGTAATAATGTTATTTTACTTACTTTAATGACGTATATCACTCTGCGTCAAAAAGTAAGTATAACATATTATTTATTCTGTGGTATAACGTCTAGACCTGAAAAGTTACGTTAAGACTGTAATTTACCATCTAGGACTTTAAGTAAAACACACAAAAAATCGAACGAGCATGACAGAATTCTAATAGAATTGTACTAGGCAGTACTACTTTTCTGTCCGTTTGAATTTTTAACACACTGTTACCAATAAGTACTGTGCCACCCACTTTTCGGTATAAATATACAGGGTTATTTTGCAATGACCGGCCAAATTTGCAGAGAAGGTTCAGAGTAAGTAATATAGGGCAAATGGTGAAGAAAAATTAATTAAAATAAAATCTTAAACATTCTGTCCTTTTTATCTTTCAAATTCAAAATGCGTGGTAATGCATTATTTTAATTGATTTTACTGCGCACGCACACATTCGTAAAGATCGATCGGTAGGCAAAGACGTTATTGCCCGTAAATCACATTAAATTTGGGATTACTGCAAACTGCAATAACGGTATATCACTAATTATATAATATTTGAACTTAAATTTAAAATTTGGCTACTCTTTGGAAAATAACCCTGTATAAGCAAAAGAGCACCCGCTCACTGAGATTTTTGATTTGAGGAGAGTCAATTTAATTATAGACTGTATGGTATTTCATCTTATCTGTCAACGCTGATTAAATCACTTGAAGTTAGTTGCAAAAGTCGATGTGTTACGGGAGTTACAATCAGTGAGTTAAGGACTTTCAGACTCAGGTACAGAATAAATCCACACCACCTAGCTACAAATAAAATTTTAGTTTCAAAATTAAAACTAAATATAAAATATTGTAAGACTGTCACGTAATATTTATACAAAAAAAAAGAGTATACAAAGAGCCAACCGTTTTCTTGGTGATCAAACGCTTTACTAAGTAGTTAATGAAACGATACATTTAACAATTGTATTATGCTGTAATAGAAAAATAATATCACGTAACCTCAATTATTAGATTCCTTTGCCTAATATTTATTTTAATCGTTAAAAAACATCAGTAAAGCTATTATGCCAGTGATCAAACTATTGTAACATTGATAAAGCTTTTTGTACAAATAGAATAATTATTATTTCAAAGTTATTTAAAAGTCATTTGTAATTAAGGCTGTTACAATAATATAAAGACCAATCTAATTGATCAATAATTGTCTATGGCTTGTTTGACCTTTATGTAGCTGTTTTAGTGTTCCGGGGTAAAACAGACAATTCAACGAAATTTGAAAAACCCCATAAACCCCAGATCTTCAAACGGCTGAACAGATTTTCTTGAAACATAGCTAAGAACAATATCAAAACACCTTTCAAAAGAAAAAAAAACTAAAATCGGTTCATCCGTTTAGGAGCTATTATGCCACAGACAGACACATATATACATAAATACACAGATACACACTACATACATACACCATCCCTCTGTAAATGTAAGTTTAAAAAATTATTTCTTTATTTGTGTTACGAGCATCGACATATTATATACTACGCACTAGATTTCGCATTCCGAACATTGACTCTTATGTTCAACTCAACTGTACTGCAATCCGTACACTAAACTAAATATTGCGTAAATTGAAGAATTGTGAAATCCATAAGATAATTATTATTACATTTTCTACCGACTTCAAAAAGGAGGAGGTACTCAATTCGGCTGTATGGTTTTTTATGTGTGGTTACCTCATAACTTTTTACTGGGTGAACCGATTTCGATGATTCTTTCTTTATTTGAAAGCTGGTGCTTCACATGTGGTCCCATATAAATTTGATCAAGGTCTTACCAATAGTTTTTGAATTATCCTTTTCAGGACACACTCAATACTCAATACAAATGCTCTTCTAGTCTAGATGATAAATCGCACTGTCTTAGCGTAACAGAAGCCTATTCACTGCTGCCTTGAAGACGCCAGATTTTAATCAGATGGAAATACAGACACCGGCAAATTATTTCTTCTATAATTGTAAAGCGTCAGTAGCCTAATGGCAGGGCGCGGACCGCGAACTCGAAAGGTCATGGGTTCGAATCCACCATTCGACTACTGTCGTGAACCACTTCTAACGTAAGCATTTTATGCTTACCAGAAGTGGTTAAAGGGAATATTAGTAATGTTTAATAGCATTACTAGTATTTTATTTTAAAAAAATCCATTTCAGCCCATAAAAGTCCACAGTTGATATGCCGTCCCCATAGATTTCGTCATTTCACCACAGTTGCCAGTTGCCACGTTTGGCAGGGGGATTGGCAACCGTAGTGTGTCATCATCAGGAAGATGCTACTGCTTCCTCTTGCTACAGTATTCAACCGTTTACTACTACACTACTTTCCACCTTTACTTTGTTAACTTGAACCAATTTTGAATTTTAACAAAACGTTAAGTAATTTTGATGTAAGTAACAAGAAACATGTCGCTCCCTAACTTGTTAATATGTAACCTAAGCTAACTTGTGTTTCTCATACCTTTTTAAAATGATTTCAAAAATGAGGAGGCACTAAATTCGACTGTATTTTTTTCTTCTTGTATTTTTGTGTGTTACCTCGTAACTTTTTTCTACGTTTTCCAATTTTGATGATTCTTTTTTTATTTGAAAGCTAACGCTTCTCATGTGGTACCATATAACCAATATCTAACCAGTAGTTTTTGAGTTATGCTTAATAATTTATATTGAAGTCGGTTGTACAACATTTTTAATTTTACGACTTGTTTCGAGAAGTGGGTCGGCGCAACGGAGGTAGGAACGCGCTCCTACAGATTCATCATCATCATCATTACAGCCCTTCACAAGTCCACTGCTGAACATAGGCCTCCCCCAATGAATGCCACAAAGCACGGTCCTGAGCCACCTGCATCCATCGACTTGCTGCATGTTTTACCAGGTCGTCACTCCATCTAGTGGGGGGTCGCCCTACACTTCGCCTGCCGGTACGAGGCTACCACTCGAGAACCTTTCTTCCCCATCGGTTGTCGGTTCGGCCGGCCCACTGCCACTTCAGCTTACTAATCCGTTGGGCTATGACGGTTACTCTGGTTTTACTGCGGATATCCCCATTTCTAAATTTATCACGCAGAGACACCCCGAGCATAGCCCTCTCCATAGCTCGCTGAGCGACCTTGAGCTTCCTCATACGGCCAGTAGTGAAGGACCACGTCTCAGAGCCGTAAGTCATCACTGGCAACACGCACTGGTTGTACAATTTAGTTTTCAGGTTTTGAGGTATGTCTAACGAGAATATGTGTCGTAGTTTTCCGAACGCTGCCCAGCCGAGTTGAATCCGTCGATTGACCTCTCGGTCGAAGTTGGACTAAACTAGTCGGACTATTTGTCCCAGGTAAACATACTCGTCAAAAACTTGGAGCTTAGTGCTCCCAACAACTACCAGCATAGGTGTGACATGGACGTTAAACATGTTTTTTGTTTTGTCCATGTTCATCTTAAGACCAACCCGTTGGAAGAAACTATTGAGGTCATTGAGCATAGTGCTTAGGTCCTCTAGCGATTCTGCCATAAGGACTATATCGTCGGCAAATCGAGGGTGAGTGATGTACTCGCCATTGATGTTAATACCGTATCCTTTCCAGTCCAGTAGCTTGAAAACGTCTTCCAATGCAGCGGTGAAGAGTTTCGGGGATATAACGATACCCTGTCTTACACCTCTCTGCAGTTGGATAGGTTTCGTACTCTAATTCTGTACTCGGATAGATACCGTAGCTCTACTGTACAAACACTTCAGCACTTCGATATACCGACAGTCAACTTGGCACCGCTGAAGGGACTGTAGCACCGCCCAAATTTCGACGGAATCAAAGGCCTTCTCATAGTCCACATACGCAAGGCAAAGTGGCAGATTATACTCCTCTGTCTTCTGTACAATCTGCTGCTGGGTATGTATGTGGTCCATGGTACTAAAGCCTTTCCAGAAACCGGCTTGTTCGGGAGGCTGGAAGTCGTCAAGTCTGCGTGCGAGACGATTCGCAATGACTCTCGAAAACAGCTAGACCACCGCACTTCTGCTCCACGCCTCCGGAGTAGTGCCATCATCGAGGACGGAATTAGAGCTTCTAAAGAACTTCAAGTACCGGTTTTCCACCCACTTTCAAAAGCTCCGCTATAATTCCATCCTCGCCCGGGGCCTTGCCGTTTTTAAGGTGCTGGAGAGCCATTCTAATCTCGCTCAATCTGGCGTCCGGGATATCTTCGGAATAGTGTCGAAGAAGACTCGCTCTTGGATCGTTACTCACACTTGCGTGTGGCTCCAACAATGACGGGTACAGCTGCCCATAGAACCTCTCAATCTCACTCAAAATCTCAGGTGTTCCGGAAACGATGCTGCCACACTCGGTCTTTAGCTTTGACAGTTGGCTCTTTTTGGCAGACAGATCTCTAGCAAAGACTTTGGAGCCTTGGTTCCGCTCGATCGCTTCTTCAATACAAGCTGTATTGAAGTTGCGCAAGTCCCGCTGCATGCATTTGGAGATCTGTCTGTTCAGTTGCTTCTATGCTGTCAAATCTGTTGAAGAATGTTGTAGCTTCATCTCCCGTCTAACAGCCATGAGATTAAGAGTGTGATCGGAGAGTTTTTGTGTTCTTCTGCGGCGGGTCTTGCAAAACTTAGCTCCGACCGCATAGACAGTTTCCACGAGCTTGTCATTCATATCGTCCACTTCATTGCAGCCTTCTAGGCACTGAAAACTGTTTTGTAACTCGAGCTGAAAGGTTTCAGGACTTTGGAACAGAGCACGAGGGGGACGGAGCGTTGACTTCATTAGACGAGACCTCTCCAACTTAACGTTTAGGTTCAGTGTGCCTCTAACCATTTGGTGATCGCTACTAGTTTTCGCCCTCGCGATCACTGAGACATCACTGAACAGTTGTCGTCTGGTCATCATAATGAAGTCAATCTCATTTTTTGTCGAACCGTCGGGGCTTGACCAGGTCCATTTCCTGTGGGGCCGCTTCTAGAAGAAAGAGTTCATCATAAAGAGTCCCTCTTTCTCCATGAAGTCAGCCAGTTGGCCCCTTGGGTTCCGTTGCCCTATTCCAAATTTCCCTACTTTCAGCTCACTGTTCTCTCTTGTGCCTAGTTTTGCATTGAAGTCTCCCATTAACACCGTTTAGTGGGTTTTGGAGGAATGCATGGCTCCAGAGATATTCTCATACATTTCCTCCACCTCCTCATCGGGATGTGCCGAGGTTGGTGCGTAAACCTGTATGACCTTCAGCGAATACCGTTTGGTGATTCTGAGTATAAGGTACGCAACCCTCGTCGACACACTCTCAATCTTTACAACGTTGTTAACGAGAGACTTGTGGACGATAAATCCGACACCTCCTTGGGACAGATGGTCGCCCTCCCGGTGATAGAGCAAGTTGCCGGATTCGACGATTACCGTGTCCTCCCCCTCTCTTCGGACCTCGGATAATCCTATAATATACCAGCGTAACTTGTCTATCTCTTCTTCCAGCTCCACGATCTTCTCGTCAGTCCTCAGGGTGCGTGCGTTGTATGTTACCAGGTCGAGTCGCCGTAGGTGGTAACCGAACCTCCACCGGAAATTCTTAGCACCCCCTGCCCCGCCGTTACCATGGTCGCCACCGTAGCCAGAAATAGTGGGGCCACCGGGGACTGGGGGCCGTCTCTTTGTAGCTCTAATCATTGGGGGGTATTTGCCATAGTTGCCACGCTTGGCGAGCGGGTTGGCAACCGCAGTTTTTTTTATTGTACTGTTACTGTTATCAGGAAGATACTGCAGCCCATCTCCTGTCTGTTTCCCACTGTCGCCTTTTACGACACCCACGGGAAGATATGGGGTAGTGGATATTCTTAACCGCCACTACACGGCAACGTGCAGATTATAAGCGTCGTACAGATTATAAGCGTAAAACAGTTACAGAAAGTATACATAAGGAAGGAGGATGTAATTACATAATTGTTCAGTTGTTCTATTGTGGGAAGCCAGAATGTATCACCTTAATGTATGATAGTGAAAGTTGGGTGTGGCATAAGAAGCACGAGAGTAGAATAAATGCCTTAGTAATGCGGCCATTAAGGAGTATGTCAGGGCTGAATCTGAATAACAGGGTGAGAACTTGTGTGATAAGAGAAAAGTGTGGTTTGCAAAATGATCTTGTGACCAGGATTAAGAAAGGAATGGTTCGGTGGTTTGGAAAATGTGACAAAGCAAATCTATGTGCAGAAGTGAACGGCAGAGTCGAAACGGGACGCCCTAGACGTAAGTTTATCGACTAAAGTAGCGATATATTTAAGATGGGCCAGACGAGCATGTATGCGTAAGTATGTGGATGTAAGGGAGGTGACAGAGGTGTGTGAGGATCGTGCCAAACGGAAATCTGTAGTCTCTGCTTACCCCTATTTGTGACAGGCGTGAGTGTTTATGTATAATGTAATGTTTTTATTATTTTTACTGGTGACGATGCACCACATTAGTCCTCTACCAAAGGATCTAAATTTTGATTCTTTCTTGAGGATAGATATAAAATCTACATACCACAGCATCCGCTTAAGATAGATTGTGTGCTCGTTTGTTACACTTATACTTCTACATTCTATGACTGCCTCAAGTAGGTTGTAAACGCGATACTCATCATGAGGTCCCGGGTTCGAGTCCCGGGTCGAGTTAAAAAAATCATTTACTGGGTTTATCTGTCAAGAAATTCTCAGTAGCTGCCCGGTGTCAGGAAGTTGAAGGTGTCTCCACCCCCCACCCCCCCCCCCCCGGCTCGGTAAGCACGGTAAAGGTATTGGCTCGGAGCCTGATCTCTCCCCGATCGTGTTGGATTATCGCCATATCGCACTGAGTGTATCCTGAATGTATCCGTAGCGAGAGAGTGAGGGAATGGAGAGTGCACCTGTGCTTGTGCATACACTAGAGCACTATAATTCTACCTGCGCCGATGGCTGGTCTTCGTTGAGGCTGGCCGCTGTGACTGAAATTTGGTCTGGAGGATTACTTCTATAAAAAAAAAGCGTGCTCAATATAACACAAATTCCAGATCGCAGCACTACTGAGCATCGTATACATCGCGTACCAGTATCGCAAAATACTATTCAAAGTGCACAGTGATGATGAAGACGAACCGATAGTGTACCACACCGCTAGAGTGTCTAGGTCTCGGTCCAGGTAACCTATTATTTAGCCACACTACCTAACATTAATTTAAAAAAAATATGTAACAACATTACTACAACTAGGCATATTTTTTATAAAAGTGATAAACGAACTGATGTTCACCTGATGATAAGTAAGTACTGCAACCTATTAAGTTACCGCAGGTGCGTTGTAACCTCTACTATCTCCAAAACCTTTAATGATAAAAGTAAAGTTACAGCCTATATATTCGTCCGACTGCTGGGCACAGGCCTCCGCTCACATCGCGAGAGGGTTTTAGGGCCGCGCTTCCCCAACGCCTGTTGGCGGACTTCACATGTCTCCGAAATATTTTTTTTTATTTCTCAGACATGCCGAACCTTCACCGCCGAGCACGTGGTAAATCAGCACATAAAATTGCAATTAACAATTTCATTGGTGCCGGCGGGGATCGAACCCGAGTTGCTCGCGTACTGTGAAGTTTACATCGAGCGCTAGCCCCTGAGCTATCACGACTCTATAATAATACTGATTCTTATTAAAACCATTGATATCGCAATACAAATACCAAATAGTGAAGGAATTGCTATTTGGCGTCAGAAATAGATTGATAGTGATACAAACCCAGACCACTGAATAAATAATATGCCCAGACGGACCTTTGGAAAAGGAGTCCTCTCAGTATTGTTAGTATTCTACTGAAGAATGAGTTTCTAGTTGAATAAAACTATATGGAAACGACTTGAAAAAGGTGGAGATTCTCAATTCCAGTGTAGATGTTTTTTTTTTGTATGTATATTACGCGATATCTTCATAGATTGTGAACCAATTTTGATGATTCTTTTTTTATTTAATACGCTATACTTCAAAGGTGATCCGATATAATATTTGGAGTAAAATATTTCTCCCTGCCCATTTCCCAAGTAATTTGGAGTCTGACTTTTTTTTATAGGAGAGGGGGCAAACGAGTATGCGGCTCACCTGATGGTAAGTGACTACCGCCGCCCATGAACAACTGCAACACCAGGGAGGAAATTGCAGATGCGTTGCCGGCCTTTTAAAAAGTAATACGCTCTTTTCTTGAAGGTCTCTAAGTCGTATCGGTCCGGAAAAATCGCTGTTGGTAATCGATTCCACAAGGAAGTCGTGCGAGGAAGAAAACATCTTCTAAATCGCACAGTGGTGGACCGCCAATCATCCAGATGGTGTGGATGGTATCGGGAGTTCTACCGCGATGTGCGTTCGTGAAATTTGGCGGCTGGAATTTATCCGAACAATTCCTCAGAGCACTCCCCATGGTAGATGCGAAAGAAAATGCAAAGGGATGCAACATCTCTTCGCAGTGCCAATGAATCGAGCCGATCGGAAAGGGCTCGGTCGTCGACGATTCGAGCCGCTCTCCGCTGGATGTGGTCAAGTGGAAGGAGCTGGCACTGGGGAGCCCCTGCCCAGAGATGGGAACAGTATTCCATGTGAGGCCGAACCTGCGCCTTGTAAAGTTGCAGGCGGTGTGCCGGCATGAAATACTGTCCCGCTCTGCTGAGCACGCCAAGCTTTTTAGAGGCCAATTTGGCCTTCTCTTACAAGTGACCACGAAACTGCACGTCACTCGATATGTCGACCCCGAGGATACCGATACTGGCTGAGGCAAGAAGGGGAGTGCCTTGAAACTGAGGAGATACGACTATACACGCGCCTAGCTGCCCCAACAAAGGTAGACTGGACTAGGACCCATCAGTAATCCAATCGACGGGCAGCAGAGGACGGGGCCCTACGGCCTATGGAGACTCACCATGGCAGGTCCAGAGTTGTTTTCCGAATCCAATTAATATCAATCAAGGTTAAGTTAATAATTCAAACTCAATACAAGCCGTCCGTCGCGCAACAATATTGGTAATCAGTTACTTTAATCACTCAAAACTCAAATTAGGCCTCTTGTCACGAAACACTCAAATAGACACTCAATTCGAGGCGGTATTAAAGATACCCAAATCTTCGATAGTAATTAGGCGCGCACCATACTCAAATTCGGACGTTGATCGCAATCAATGTTAATTTCCAAAACAATTAACCGACCCGGCGTCTGCGCAGAAAATCTATTTTCCTAGACTCAACAAACTCTTCGTCGTTACATAAAGTTGCTAACAAAACCGACACTATATAGAGGTTATACGGGACGCGACCACGTCGTTCTAGCGACTGCGCTGCATTTACACTTCCGACGCGCCCTGCTCGCAACCAACTGGATGTCGCGCGAACGTCAACCGGTAGGAAATCACCGCGCTGACCGTCCCCTGGTGTCAATTCTTGAAATTAGCGTTTGGCGCGAACAACGATAAAGGAGTTCTTTTTAGCGGTAAACGTGCAAACTTGTGTTTTCTGAGGATTAAACTGGACTAGATTTAGTCGCCCCCAATCCGAGACTTCAGCAAAGACTCGACTTCAGACACAAGTTTGTTCCGGTACTCGGCGACGTTTTCCCGAGAAATATTGGCACGGCCGGTGTATGGAGCATCACCAGTGCTGTCATCCGCATAGCAATGAATGTTACCAGTTAGCAACATATCATTGATATGCAGAAGAAACAGCGTTGGTGATAGCACACAGCCTTGTGGAACACCAGCGTAATAGGCTTGTATTCGGAGCATGCACCGTCTACAACGACCTTGATGCTCCGTTCTGCAAGGAAGCTGGTGATCCAATCGCACAATTTCTCGGGAAGGCCATAGGAAGGGAGCTTCGAAAGAAGCGCTTTGTGCCAAACCCGATAGAAGGCCTTCGCAATGTCCAGATTAACGGCCAACACCTTCCCCTTGGGCTCTACTGCCTCCGCCCATCTATGAGTCAGGTTAACCAGAAGATCTCCAGTTGATTGACCCCGACGAAAACCGTATTGGTGGTCACTAATCAGCTGGTGATCCTCAAGGTACCGTATGAACTGGCAGTTAATAATTGATTCCATTATTTTGGAGAACAAGGAGGTGATCGCGATAGGCCTATAGTTGGACGGGTCTGAGCGGTCGCCTTTTTTAGGGATCGGGTGGACAAAAGCTGTCTTCCATGAATTCGGGACTACGCCTTGGGAGTAGGAGTACCGGAAAAGACGCGTTAGGACCGGTGCCAACTCCGGAGCACACGTCCTCAGCATAATTGGGGGGATTCCGTCAGGCCCACTCGACTTCTGGATGTCCAGGGAGAGAAGTGCTTTGTGAACCGAGCGCTGTGAGAACAGCACATCCGGCATGGAGCACTCACATCGCGGGATGGTCGGCGGTGTTTTCCCTCCGTCATCAAGAGTCGAGTTGGACGCAAAAAGGGAGCCTAAAAGTTCGGCTTTGTCTTTTGCGTCTTGGGCCAGTGAGTCATCCTCCCTGTGCAGAGATGGTAGTGATGGCTTACAGAAATTCCCTTGGACAGCCTTGGCTAGAGACCAGAATGCACGGGTTTCCGAAGGAAGGCGAACTAGTTTCTCGCCAATTCTGCCTATGTGCTCTGACTTTGCCTTGGCAATAACTCTTTTGAAGGACCTGGAGGCGAAGTTATACTTCTTTTTAAGTGTGCTGGTGTTTACATCCCGAGTTGCCGAAGCCGCAGCCCAGGCTTGATAACACTTCTGCTTACTGCGTAATGCAGTCTTACAGGAGTGACCAAACCAAGGCTGAGATCTGCCTCCGATGAGTACCACAGATGATGGAATAAATAGTTCCATTCCCTGTAGCACCACATCAGTGACAGAGTCAGCAACAGCGCTGGGATCATCCGGCGAGAAGAAACCCGCTCCCATGGGTAGGATGCAAAGAAAGACCGCATTCCGTCCTAATCCGCCGACCTGTAATGCCAAACACGGCGGCAACCTGCAGAACGCAATCGCGAAGGGAGCGTGAGTGGCACCATACTCCGGATCAGACAATGGTCCGAAGAGCCGAGAGGGGTATCGACGGAAACCTGATATCCGTCCAGATGAGTGGTCAGCAGAAGGTCCATCAGGGAAGGTGTATGATCCTCCACATCTGGAATCCGCGTAGACGAAGTAACCAGTTGTGTCAGACCATATGCCAAGGCAAAGTCATAAACAGATCTCCCCGCACGATCGGTTAAACGTGAACCGAGCCATTCGTCATGGTGGGCGTTAAAATCGCCAAGGATCACGATCTCTGCGGATGGGGCCTGTTGTAGCAAGGAATCTGTAGCCATTTGAACGTGGTCGATGAGTCGGTCTGTTTCGGCATTACCGCTATGGGACCTATAGAGGCACCCGTAGAAGCGCGGATGGTCGTCGCTGTCTACGCATAGCCAAAGGATGGACAAGTCCGAACCTTCAAGACTGCCGAGGCGTCGAGAACAGATGTCCTCTCTGACATACACGCAAACTCCAGCCCGAGGCACAAAGGAGTGCTCCAATTTGTACCCCGGGTAGGAGAGATACGAAATATCAGCCGGAGAGGAAACCTGCGTCTCGGTCAGAAAGAGCAAGGCCGGCATCGCCATCTCGAGATGGTAGTGGATGGCGTTTAGGTTAGAGTGAAGTCCCCTGATGTTGCAGAAATTCACGGATAGCGTGGCAGGGGTCGCCTTGGTCTTGTTGCTCAGTTTGCCCCGAGCAGTTATGTTTTTGAGTGGAATTCCCCCCCCCCCCCGAATACGCGGGGCAGCCTGAGCACCCACGCTCAGGATTGGAATAACATGGTCGTGGATGCTCAGCGAGGGATTCTCCTGGGGTAGTCTAACGTGTAATTCCGCTACCATGTTGATGGGGGATTGGGCCTCCGGCCACCTGCACTCACCAGACGAAACACAGAAGCAGAGCTTCTACTTCACGCCGTTATTCTGTGAGGTCGTGGTACCAACCCAGCTCGAGCCGGCCCATACGTGCAACAGCAAAAACTGCTGCGTGGCTCTACCACCGTTAATCTTCGACTTCCTCTTTCATTCTCGTCTATCAGCTGTCATCCCATCGGTCCTTTCCGCATATCACAGTCCAACCATTCTTTTTTGAGCGTCGCTTTTTTCTTATATCCATTTATTTTCATATATTTATTTTAATCTTGTTACGTTTTCCTTAAAATAAATTAAATATTTGTTAAAATGGCGCATCATCATGACGTTATCCTGAAAATTGATGTTTACAAAGGTGCTCCAAACAAAAACACCTTTTTGTTTACAGGTCCTATTCAAGATCTAGATCGAGACCGAGATCAGCAAACAGTTATCGAAGCTACAAGGTGGATGACACAAAGAGCTCGCGTCGGGGCAGAAAAACTCAGAGACGATGTCCCAACTGCAGAAATGATTATGATATTAACTAACGATACAGCTGTAAAAATGAAATGTATTGTCGATATAGGCTCATTTTATTTGACGGACAAATTATATTGTATTAATTCATATTAATGTGTTATTTTTCATGAATTTCCATATTCTCTATACTGCTGATCTTACTTGCCCTAATCGTTTGATCGTTTTTTTGAACCCGAATGGTTATGAAACTGTCGTTATACTCGTACTTCGCACAGTGTCTAATATTGGGGACGGACGCGGACAAGTCCCTACCAGCACACCGTGGGTACAGTATAGTCCTTATGCCTAGGCCTAGGAAGTATTCTTGAATATGTCGCCACATACATCGCGAATAATCGCGTTATTACGATGTGTGCGGCCGCGGAATCAGAGTATATGTGTAGGCTACCTTAGGCACAAATTATACAGAAGCGGCATAATGCGAAGGCGCACAAAAGTCTCGTTCGTTGTAGCGCCGACATGTCTTCAGCGGTGCGTCATATCTGCCGGTAACCCAAGAAAATATAACCACCAGTGGCAGCGTGGCGTTGGTTGGCACCCAGGGCGGTTTTCTATCAAGCACCCCCCAAATAAAACAAGAAATGTTAAACATACTTTATTTCGCTAAATTATTCTATTCATCATCATTATCATTACAGCCCTTCACAAGTCCACCGCTGAACAAAGGTCCAAGATGCCACAAAGCACGGTCCTAAGATACCCACATCCATCCGCTTCCTGCATGTCTTACCAGGCCGTCACTCTATCTAGAGGGGAGCCACCTTTCACTTCGCCTACTGCGAGGCTGCCACTCGAAAACCTTGCTTCCCAATCGGTTGCCGGTTCTTCGATCTTTATGGCCAGCTTATTGCCATTTCAGCTTACTAATCCGTTGGACTATGACGGTTACTCTGGTTCTATTGAGAATATCCTCATTTCTAAGTTTACCACGCAGAGAAAACCCGAGCATAGCGCTCTCCATAGTTAGCTGAGCGACCTTAAACTTTCTCATATGGCCAGCAGTGAAAGACCACGTCTCAGATCCATAAATTATCGCTGAACGTTGCCCAGTCGAGTTGAATCCGTCAATTGACATCTCGGTAGAAGTTAGACTTACCTAGTCAGAATATTTGTCCCAGATAAACAAACTTGTCAACAAGTTCGAGCTTAGTGCTCCCAACAACTACCGGCATAATGGCAAAAAGGCAAAAAACCGTAACACATGATTTTTGTTTTGTCCAGTTTCATCTTAACAAAATCTATTGAGATCATTGAGCATAGTCCTTAGGTACTCCAGCAATTCTGCCATAAGTACTATATCGTCGGCAAATCGAAGGTGAGTGATGTACTCGCCATTGTTATTTACCGTATACTTTGCAGTCTGACTAGACTGAGACTGCAGCACTGCTCAAATGTCTACGGAATCAAAGACTTTCTCATAGTCCACATACGCAAGACAAACTTTTACATTGTTGGTACAATTTGCCGCAGGGTATGTGGTTAATGCTGTTTAAGCCTTTTTGGAAACTGGCTTATACGGGAGGCTGGAAGACCTCGAATCTGCGTGCTAGCCGATTCGTAAAACAGCACGAAAAAGTGGTTCAGAAGGGAAATCGGTCTGTTTATTCTTCAAAAGAACGTTGACGCCCTTCTTGAAGACCAAGACCACTGCCCTTCTGCTCCACACTACAGTAATTTCGACGTTGTAAGATGAGCGATATTTAACTATTTTTTATTTCTAAACTACGTGGGTGCAGTTTAAATAATTAATATTTTTGAGATGTGTTATTTAAAATACGTCTGCCAATATATATATATATATGTCGCTCACGTCCTACACCTATAGGTTCCAGAGTATAGTTTCACTGCCGTCGCTGTGTGTGCTGCTGGAAAACTGTGGACTGAAGTTCAAAATTAAAATGCACGATTTATAAATTAAAATAGCAAGGGAGTGGCCAGCGGTTCGACTAAGTGATAAGTCGCGAAATTTTATAACTATTATTTATTGACCACAGTTGTTGAACACGGTTGTTCAACTACGGTTATTCACTATTGGTTGGTCACTATATATTTCAAAAGATTTAATTAAAAATGCGCGGTAGTAATAAAATTTCTATTGGTATTAAAATATCTATTGGTAGTATCAAAATATCTATTAGTAGTATCAAAATATCTATTGGTAGTATCAAAACATCTATTGGTAGTATCAAAATATCTATTGGTAGTATCAAATATCTATTGGTAGTATCAAAATATCTATTGGTAGTATCAAATATCTATTGGTAGTATCAAAATATCTATTGGTATTAGCTGGTTTTCTAACACTACTGACTAGCAGCTATTAATCAACTAAAACTAGTTGATTTTATCACTTGCGTAACTGCGAATATCAGTTACCACCTTTTCCGTCTAGCTAACACTTTTCACTATATGTAACGGCGAATTTTCCGTTACCACTTTTTTCGGCTAGTGGTAACGCGTGGTTCAAAATTGGAATAAAGTGGACTGTAATAGGTAGTTGAAATTGGATTTCGTTGAAATTTGCAACCGACACGTAAAACTGAAGGTACGCACCTGGAGAACGCCGTCAGCTTCTTTTCTTACTTGAGGTTGACACTCGCGTGGTACACTCCTAGTTTTCTTGCGCGATTTACACTTATTTTATACAATTCACGGCCGTGATTTTAAGCGTATCATAACTAAACAGATATGCGAGTCGCGAGCGTGACACAATATGCTTCCACGTGCGGGCGTGTTCTTACTTAGACTTCTCCTTCTACCCGATTGTCGGTCGCAAGAAGGAATTAGTGGAATAAATGAAGGTATTATAGAGGAAATCTGATTCGTCGATAAGATTGACCAAAACGCGGAATATTTTAATTTGAGAAATGGCGGTAACATTTCCTCCGCCCTTAAAGGGTCGCCTTTAAAAGAAAATAATAATAAGATGCGATAAATACAATTAATACTTACTAAAACTAAGCGAATACAAATATATATATATATATATATATATATATATATATATATATTACATAGATGTAAAGATGTAAGATGTGAGCGATGTAGAGTTTATTATTGTGTAGGTAACGGACACAAGCGCACCACTGGTCGCACGAGTGTACCCCTTGCCGTTTTTACTGTAGCGACACGAACTATACCGTCCTTAGACGGGTGAACCTTTACGATCACTCCTAAAGGCCAGGAGAGGGTCGGTGAGTTATCATTTATAATTATGACAACTGTGCCCACCTTTACGGGGACCGAGCATTGAGTCCATTTACGCCGCGCCTGCAGTTGATGCAGATATTCAGTTCTCCAACGACGCCAAAAGGATTGGACTAATTTATCTAAGAGTGTATGTAGTTGAAGTAAATTAATTGGCGAAGATTCCACATCAGGTGCAGGTAAAGAGTGCAATGGTAACGTATTCAAAAAGTGTGCGGGTGTTAAAGCCGTCGGTTCAGTTCAGCTGGATCGGAGCTAAGCACAGTGAGAGGACGAGAGTTTAGTAAACATTCTATTTGAGCGAGAATTGTGATTAACTCCTCATACGCAAGGATCTGCTGTCCAATAACCTTAAAAAGATGGTTCTTTACACATTTTACCATACTCTCCCAACAACCACCGAAATGTGGGGCGGCAGGCGCTATGAACTTGAATTCAATGCGGCTTTCGGCCAATTCTTCTTCTAAACGCGGGCGGTATTCCTTTGTGACAAAATTATATAAATCTCGTAGATAAGATCGAGTGCCTATAAAATTTGTTCCACGATCATAGTAAAGACATTTCACGGGACCCCGTCGCGATAGGAAGCGCTTTAAAGCTGCGATAAAACTCACAGTGGAAAGATCCGTGGCTACTTCGATGTGGAGTGCGCGCGTAGTAAGACAAGTAAATATGCATAGGTAACACCTCGAGCTCGTATGGGCGTATACAATATAAGGCCGCAATAATCACAGCCAGTATGAGCGAAAGCTTTCTCCGCTTGCGTGACTCTATGTCCCGGCAGAGCAGACATTAAAGGAAATCGCGGGCGCGGTTTTAATTTAAAGCAAGTGTTACACTTATTAATTCTAGACCGAATAATTCGTCTAGCGGACAAGATCCAAAATCGTTGTCTTAACAAAGACGTGAGCAGCTCTGGGCCGGCATGTAAATATTTCTTGTGATAGTAGTCGACCAAAGACTCTACAAGAGCGTCATGACGCGGTAAAATAATCGGAAATTTGTATTCTGAACCTTCAGCGGAGTTGGTAAGGCGGCCACCAATGTGGATGAGGCCATCGCATAAAAGTGGCTTAAGCTTCATTAGCGCGGGCGAGCAATTACTACCGGCTCCCAGCTGTCTAATGTGGAATGCAAAATGTCTTTTTTGAATATCGCCTATTATCATATGCTCTGCGGCGCTTATATCGAACGCGGTAACTGCTATCGAACCGGAACGGGGTAGTTTATTTATAAATCTGCAGACATAAACAAGGATACGCGTGAGTCTACTCCAGGAGGAGATGCGTTTATTAAGATCTTGAACTAAGTACGTTTCTGGTTCTGACGTAGTAATGCGGTGTGCGGTTATTTTTTCTTCCGGTACGTTGTCTAGCGCTATAGTATTATGGTCTGTATTAGTGATAAGCCACAGCGAGAGGTCTTGCGCGAGCCAGGACGGACCTTGTGACCATAATGGATGAGATATTAGCCTTTCGGGTGTAAGACCTCTCGATAAACAATCAGCTGGATTATCTATTCCCGCAACGTGATGAAAATTAGCGGCTGGTAAATTGTCAATAATCTTGACGACGCGGTTAGCGACAAAAGTTTGCCAGCGGTGCGGAGAAGAGTTTATCCAACAAAGTGTGACCATTGAGTCTGTGAACGCGTACATATCACTAATATGATAGCGCGAATCGTAGGTGTCATGCACGCGTTTAATTAGTCTTGCCAGTAATTCGGCAGCACAGAGTCGAGACGTGCAATAGACAAAGGCTTCATTGGTGAGACCTTTGACTTGGCGCAAACGAGTCGCGTC